CCTTCCCAAACTCCTCCCACATGGAGTCTGCTATGTTTTAAGATTGCCGTCAAGGAATTACAACCTTGCTCTCACGTCCCCAGTAATCGTAAGTCTAATAACTGCTGTTTGGGAAGATCAAACTGATGTCCAGTAGTTTTCGCTGGACTGTTTCCACTACAACACCAGAAATTTTCAGATTTTGGAGAGGAGATCCTCTCCGTAGCAAAGCCGGCATTTTCGTCCTGCATCAACAAGTGTTTCCTATCACCTTCTCTCCAACCCATTTAGTTTCCTAAATGTATAGAATATTTATCTACCTATTAATGCGATCAAAAAATATAGGGGGCCCTATATTTTTTGATTACAAAAATAAAATTGACTTCCTATATAAAAGAAGACACAAAATATCTCAAAAAGAAGAGAGAACTTAAATAAGACTAAGCAGCGGAAATTAAAACTACAAACGATGATTTGAACAACTTAAACTCTTACAAATGACTCCAAATAAAATAAAGAGACACCCTAAAGTTGCTTCAATTAGAGAAGAAGGATACAGGTGGAGTGGCACTTGCGGAGAGACGAAAGAGGTTAGAAGCCCGAGAAGAAAGGTTGGAAAGAGCCCGCAGGATTTCCGAGGGGATGAGAAAGAAGCGTGGAAAGAGCCTGCAGGATTTCCAAGCAAACCCGCAGGTTAAAGCTTTTCCAAAAATTACATTTTCATAACTTCTTTAAAACATTACAATACCCCCATATATATAGGTATGAAAGGGGAAGACCAAAAGACACATAACATAAATTCTCATAGGAATTTTAAACATTACAATTAATTAAAACACTAATGCTTTGCATGAAAAAAAACATCCCAAGCTAGGGAACCGAAGAGGCATCCACGGGAGCCAAGGAGGCCGCACGGATTCAAGGAGTCACGGTCACGGAAAGGAGCCCAGGCATGGAAATCCAGCAGCCGGCCGGAATCCCAAGGTGCAAAAGCACAAAATACTAAAGGCCATGGTGGAATTCAAGGAGTCATGCATAGGAAGACTAAACAACTAACTTGGGATTTCAAAAGCCCTTTTTGGAACCCAAGAGACATCATAAAAGAAGACATTAAAAACTATAATAAAAGTGCATTAAATAAAAGATAAATATGAGCTAAAACTTAGCTAATAATGAGCTATCTTTTAGTTCCATTTAATTAACTAAAATCCAGCTCATAAATGAGCTGAAATTCCAGCTCAATTTTGATTGAGCTAGTAGACTTAAGGGAAGCCAAAATCTAATTATTTTTGACATGAGTTGACCCCCCCTTTGTCTATATCAGATTCTCCTCTTCTTAAAGAACTCAGCTCCTGATGAGTTGGTTGTTGTTGTCTTCCGAGGAGGAGAAGACGGAGTATCAAGTTCATTAATCAGGTCTTCATACTTCTGCTTGATCTCATCTCATTCTTTCAGGAATTTATCTTGTAAGCATTGCTTTTTCTTGAAGTACCTTTCTGTACGTATGTGCATCCATGATTGAAGTTTGTATATTTCATACACCAGAGGATTTGCTGACTTTGATGGAATCCACCTATCCATAGGATCTTTAATTTCTTCAGGTTTGCCTTCTTCTGTCTTTTTGTCTTTTTTCATTTTTTTATGACTCAAACAAGACTAAAAAAAAGACTCAAAGAAAGACTCAACCTAAACTTAGACTCACAATAAGACTCACGACAAGACTAAAATAAAACTCTTGACAAAACAAAACTTGACAAACTCACAAACCTAGGACTTCCTAACTTACTCTGATACCAAATTAATGCGATTAAAAAATATAGGGGGCCCTATATTTTTTGATCACAAAAATAAAATTGACTTCCTATATAAAAGAAGACATAAAATATCTCAAAAAGAAGAGATAACTTAAATAAGACTAAGCAGCGGAAATTAAAACTATAAATGATGATTTCAACAACTTAAACTCATACAAACGACTTTAAATAAAATAAAAAGACACCCTAAAGTTGCTTCACTTAGAGAAGAAGGATACAGGTGGAGTGACACTTGCGGAGATACGAAAGAATTTAGAAGCCCGAGAAGAAAGGTTGGAAAGAGCCCGCAGGATTTCCAGAGGGGATGAGAAAGAAGGGTGGAAAGAGCCCGCAGGATTTCCAAGCAAACCCGTAGGCTAAAGCTTTTCCAAAAATTACATTTTCATAACTTCTTTAAAACATTACAATACCCCCCATATATATAGGTATGAAAGGGGAAGACCAAAAGACACATAACATAAATTCCCATAGGAATTCCAAACATTACAATTAATTAAAACACTAATGCTTTGCATGAAAAAAAACATCCCAAGCCAAGGAACCGAAGAGCCAACCACGGGAGCCAAGGAGGCCGCACGGATCCAAGGAGTCACGGTCACGGAAAGGAGCCCAAGCACGGAAATCCAACAGCCGGCCGGAATCCCAATGGGCAAAAACACAAAATACTAAAGGCTATGGTGGAATTCAAGGAGTCATGCATAGGAAGACTAAACAACTAACTTGGGATTCCAAAAGTCCTTTTTGGAACCCAAGAGACATCATAAAAGAAGACATTAAAAACTATAATAAAAGTGCATTAAATAAAAGATAAATATGAGCTAAAACTTAGCTAATAATGAGCTATCTTTTAGTTCCATTTAATGAACTAAAATCCAGCTCATAAATGAGCTAAAATTCCAGCTCAATTTTGATTGAGCTAGTAGACTCAAGGGAAGCCAAAAATCTAATTATTTTTGACATGAGTTGACCCCCCTTTTGTCTACATCAATCATAATATCTATAAATTCCATTAATATTTCTTTAAGTGAACCTATATTCTAAGTTCCTATTCTAATTTTAGTTTTATGGACTAACTTCTTTGCCCACATCTGTCCTTGATGTAGGAACCCTTGCCTATTTAACACTGCACCCGGGCGCCGGTGCAGTGACCCTTGCATACTTGTCGCTGTATTCAGGTTATATAGTGTGTCGCTTCTAGAGGACGTCCTAGCATTAACAGAATTTTTTAAAGGATTTATGTCATGATTATTCAACAAATTTTACGCTGGCTGACAACTGCATAATGCAACCCTTTTAACAATTATGATTGACAAAAAACAGGGTGTCATGGGATCAATTTGTCTTGTGAGCCCTATGCAGGTTGTTGATCTTTCAATCGGGATCTATCAAGAAGTGGAAGATGGTGATTTAATCATTCTGCTTTTTATAAAAACTTGATTTTTGGTTTATCTTCAATCACGTTTAATAATTATGCTTTTTATAAAAAATTGATTTTTGGTATATCTTCAATTAGGTGTCTATTAGGGTTTTCTTTAGGAATAATATAACTTTGGAAGTCGTAACCTTGTATCTATGTCTTAGATTTTAATAATCAAATGCATTGGTTCCACTTGATGAGCACTATGTTTTCTTGTACTGTTTTCTTTAATACACATTGCTTCTCTATTAATTGTATATTTTTGTCTTTGAGGTTCCATATTGTAAACCAAGACCCTGGAACATTTATAAAAAATTATAGTACTCATGCACAAGTGTGGGAGTAGATTTTTGTTTTTGAGGTTTCATATTTTGACTGCCTATAAATATTTTGTTTCTCAGCGCAGTAGATAAGATCAGATTTCTGTACGCTATATATATATATATATATATGCAAGGCATCTGAACCTATGAAATCTATTTTTTATTTAGTTTTCCTGTTATATGCTAGTTTCACTAGATTTATTCCATGCATGAGGTTTTTGATCTATGTAAATGTTTTATTTTCTGCAGCTAAAGCCTTATCACTTCCTGCCCCTGGGCATTTTACATCCTATAACGGCTATATATGAACTAAGATATGGAGAAAATGAAGTGGGGCAAAGTAAGTTAAAATTGATTGTCCATTGATTTCTTTATTATGGGATAAAGAATTATCCAAATTTTCAAAAAATAATGCACAACTTCTGTAGATGAACACAAACCCGAAGTTTCTTTCTACATTTTAACAATTACTAAGTGTCTTTTTGGCTTAGGTGAAATTAGGAGGTCTTTGCATTCACGACTTGGATTACCGTTGGATCGCCCACTCTTGCGTATTGCTAGTGCGCTAATGTTTGGCACAAAAGCCAACAACATAATAAGAAACGGTCTCCTCATAACCATCAAAATGTTGCATGACTGAAATGTAGTTGTAATTGCTGCTTAATTTTTCATGCTTTGTACTTTCTAATAACAGAAAATTATTTACAGATTATCCATATCTTAAAAATGTACATACCCAGATACCAATGAGCGGTGGTTAGTTTTCTTATCTGTAAATTTTTTTTAGTTGTTAAAATATTATGATCAACTGAATGTTCTGTTATAGTTTCTGAAGGTATTGTTTCCTTGGTTGATGGGTCTTACGAGTACTATCATTATCTGCTCGATGGTATAGATGACAATGTAAGATTGATCTTTTGATGGTTCCTTCTTGATATAATGGATTAGTTAGCTTCAGAAATGCTCTATGTTTTAACACAAAGCAGTCTCTTTGATGCTAATCTGCAAATTTAAACTCGTTAAAATCATGGAGCAAATAAATGATTTGAGCAATGTTTTAGTTTTTTTTTTCATTATTTCATAGTTTTATTGTGTAATTTTTGTTTAATTTCAATTTAGTTGTTTTAATTTGTATTTGATAATGTGCTTACAATAATGGGATGCATTCTCTTTGTTATGTTGTCCTTGGTTTGGTCTACCTTTGGTTTTTGTTGGGTTTGATGGATTGGTCTGGATCTGCCGCTGCTGATTGATTTTATGATTCACATGAGATTTGCGCTGTTGAACTTCTATACCCTGTAGCCATATTTATACGGATGTTCGGATGCTACTGGATTGTTTGATCCCTATGGCCTGACATGCGATTATTGAGCTTTTAGTTCTTGCAACCATCTGAGATTCCCAAAGTTTATGGTTCCTGTAGCATTAAACAGTTTCTGTAGCGTGTGAGAAATGACTAATTGGTTTAATTATAGGGCAGTGGGTATACCCATTTTGCTAGACAAGTCAACAAAGTCAATTCAAGTTAATTCCCTAATTAATTATTGTAAATACAAAGCTAGTTTAGAATAAAATTTAAATTTCAGAATTACCAAAAAAATGATTTAATTATGAAGTCCATCAAATGCAAAGCATTGAACTGATAACAACCTTGATTGGCTCAACAAGCTATCTTAGACAAACCAAAAAAAAATTTAAATTTTACACCCAACCCTTGGATACTCATTTCTATTTAAAAGGGAATTATCAAGGTCCAACAAATTTTTAAGATTGGATGATGCATTAATCAGTCAAAAACATCGAAAGAGCACAAACTAAAGTGTAATTCATTTCTTGCATCGATATCTGTGAATTCCTCTAGATATTTGTAGAGGAATCTTACATGAAATCAATGCAAACACTTTGACTTGGCTGTCCACAAAGTCAAACTCTTTTTGTGACACCCAAAACAGATAATTGGAGGTTTGAAGAGTCAACTAATTTGCAACAAGTATTGCGTGATTATGGACCATATTTATTGAGGGTATTTATTGACCTCTATAATTTCTCTGCAAATGATCTATTAAAATGTGACAAACATTACGGACAATGATCGTTATATTGCTTAAATCGGATTTTAAAGGCTCCGATCACTATCAAAATCATCAATCATCATCCATTTCATAATATAGACACCTAAGTGTTTGGAGCATTAAATTTATCAAGAAAAAACCTCTTTATTGAATTGATTAGACACGAAAAAATGGTGGACACAGACGTTATGTCATACAAATTATGTTCAGAATGTGTCATCCGTAATCAAAATCACTTGAATGTTGTCTATTTGCCAAACGAATTGTATTGATTTATTCAAAATGTCTAAAATACTTACGGTTGACACTCATATTACTTAGGTTATAGGATAAAAAAAAATGCAAAATTTATCCATGCGTAAGATGCGAATGAACCTTTGATATGGGATTGATGAGCATATTATTTTTAAAATAGATACATACACACACATATATAATCTATTATTAAATCATCTGCCATGTCAAACTAACCCTCCTCTAAATCCTTCCAGTTCGGATGCCAGTCCTGTTTGTCCCTTATCATGTCCAAAAAAAAAAAAAAAAAACTAGAAAACTAAAGTCCTTGACTTGCCACTTTCAATCCCCCTCGTGATCCCATTCTTGCATTCTTGCTCTATCTCCCTTGCACAACCTCAGCGCCCCAAGTCGACTGAGCACCTCCCATCTCTGTTTCTTGCAAACAGTCCCAACATAAAATCTCACTTGGTGTGGCCTCACGCATCCCTCTCATTTTTCCCTCTCAAAAATTGTGAACTAGCCTTAGCGTTAACTCGTCCTATCTCGTTTCCTGCTCTGTATCTCGTAGCTCCATTGCATCCTAGTTGTTCTAGCTCCCTCTCAAACACTACAACACCGACAACCAAACCTCCACTACCATCTCGATCTCTTGGCTATCTATCCTCTTTGCCACTTCTCTACCTCAATCCCTCTCTCCAATTCATTTTCTTCTCTCCCTTCTCCCTTTCTCTCTTTGTTACACACTCTTACTCTCTTTCCCTCTCTAACCCTCTCTCTCTCTTTCTCTCTCCCTCTATCTTACTCTCTTTCTCTCTGTATCCCTTTCCCTCTCCATCACTCTTTTTGTAGCTCTATTTTTTTATCTTTCTCTCTCTTTTTCTATATATATACATATATATAATGTAGAAAAGAGGGTTAAAAAATAATTATAAATATAGAATATGAAGAGCAGAGCCTGTGTGATTTTCTTATCACCACAGGTGAAATTTGTAGGTGACGTTTTGCAATGTAGTTGGTAAGCTTTATATGTGCTTTTCATAACATGAAAGAAAAAAATCAAATTTAAATATTTGTGCGTGTTGTTTTAGTGCGGTTGGAAAATATTGCAAAAAAAATTTTAAACAAATACATGGAGGCTCATAAATGCTTTTCTTGGTATGTTAGAATAGAAGACCTCCTTTTTGTGGTGTCTTATAATACCGATTATGCATACTTTTCTTTATATTGTGGACTGACCCATACTCCCCATCGATGCCCCTATGCAGGTGAGATGCTGAGAGATTGCTGAAATTGTTTTAGTGGTCGTATTTGAAAATAATATAATTAAAATGAACTTTTTGGACTCAGTAACTTGACAATATAAAAGTGAAAATATAATTGTAAAGCTACAAAGTGAAATATCAAAGAACATTTTAAATATCATGGATGTTGTGCCAAATTGGTTAGAAAATATTAGAAATGATATTTCTTTATTAGGTTTAAATGAGAATTTGACTTTTAACCGGATACAATGGCGAAAAAGGATTCATGTAGCCGACTCCACGTAGTGGGACAAAGGCTTGTTGTTGTTGTTGTTGTTGGAAGTTGCGCCAAATGAGCTACAGAGAATCAGAGCTAAATATAGTTGTACATAGAACTAGACAACATGGTACTTGCGAACTCATCAACGAGCATAAAAGGGACCTTTATTTGACTTCCAGGGCACTCAAACAACATAACTATGACTAAACATTAAATTGACTAAGTGATAGCTATTTTTCAAAGTTTAAAGAGTATTATCATGGAGGTCTACTTAACGCTCATTAGGGCTAATTGTAAACAATAAAAACTTTGAACTCATAACAAAGTCCTAACTTGCCTTATACACCATTAAACCCATAACACATACACATAAGAGGACTAGAGGGTAATGTGGTATGTTAGAATTAAAAATTTGAAACGCTACATGCTTTTTGAGGCAACTTTGAACTGCCACCATCTTTAGAAGAGTGTAATTACATAGGGAAGCATGCAATTGCCTCGAGATGCATGCATTTATCTGAGAAGCATATCAGGCGATAAGCGTGCAACTATTTTGAGAAGCATGCCACTGCACCAAAAAGGAATATTGAAAATATGCAAGTATGTTGTACAAATGCATCTAAGTGCAGTCAAGTGCATAATGTAAATATATTAAGAAGTATACAAGTATATCGCGAATCATGAAAATGCACATTTAAATGCAATGAAAAAAATAAAAGCATATAGTGCACATGCACCAAGAAACATCTATGTATATTATTCAAATGCATCAAGAAATGTACAAGTTTATCATGTAAATATATCAACAAGAGTGTAAGTGCACTATGAAAGAAAGTGTGTTGAGGTCCATGTAAATGCATTGAAATGATGCAAATGTATCATGTAAGAACATCAAAGAGCATGCAAGTGCATAATGCAACATGCAAATATATAAAAAGTCACGCACATTATCCAAAAGATGTGTCAAATCATTAAAAGTCAAATCGATGCATGTTCTTTGATAAATGTGCTTATATTCAAATATGGATATTAGAATGATGCACGGGCCAAAAAAAAATAAACACAAATTTATCTTGCTCTAAAAGTGTGCAGTTGTTGTACAAAGACTTTAATCATCTTAAAATTCACAAATTCGTTTTTCAAAATCAAAGTTGTCATTATATGCTTTGACAAACATGTTGAATCTCAAACTTAATATCTGAGAATGTTGCATGGACCAACAATAAGTTAAACCTAAATTTACTCCTTTGAGAATCATGCAACTATTTTTAAGAAAACATGTAATTACTTTGAAATATTTGTAAAACTTCTCTTTTAAAATCAAGTTTATCAGCATATACACATCTTTTCGAACAAGTCGCCTTACGTATAGGATAAGGTTGTAAGTCCTACTTTTGAAGTCATATCCTCCATGTCACAATATTAGAGTTGACAAAACTTTCATCCCTGGTAAATAATTGAACAATGATTGTAAAAGAATTTTTTAACTGAGCAAATTTTTTATCAAATATTTGATATCAATATTATAGTGATATTTTATTTTATGTTTGCATAAGGCCCTCAAACCTTTTAACAAGCTAAATCCATTCTCAAAATGCAATTGCAAGTGCTAATTATAAACCTCATCCTCTGCTCTGCAAGCAAATTAGTATAGTTTACAAGGTCGAAAACTACAAAATGAAGTGCTCATAGCCTCGATGAAGGTTATGTTGAAAGCAAATCTTAACTAAAGGTACTTTTTTTTTAATTTGTTCCCAAATCTCAATGCAAATTATTATGGGTTAAATTTAAAAAAATTTAATAATATCGAAAAAAATATAAGGTGAAAAAATGCACAACTAAAGTCTACCCGCTATAATTTAAAGCAAAGTTCATCCACCCCCCGTAATTATTTATTGAAGCTGATAAATTAAAGAACAACCTTAGTTTTTAAAGAGCCGATATCTTGTCAAGCGTATCTCCATGCTCACACTAAAGCTCTCTCTCCAATATTGACATGAAACATGTCCTTTAATTAGTGATTTTGTCACTAAATGATTCCACAGGTAAACAGTCATGATCAGGGTCATCTAG